ATAACAGTGATCCCATGAGGGCATCAGAGTAGGCTGCAGCCATATGGCTGGTCGAAGGAATCTAACATTTTTTTTTGTTTGTTTGTTTTTGCTTTGCATGTTGAATAGCCAAGTCTTGTTATAGTTTGTTGTGTGATGTTCTCGCTTACAAAGAACATAACAGATCTAACATATCCCGAACAACGGGAACATTGAAGACACAGTGGATAAAGTTTTCCTTGAAAGGTAATATTCCCATATTCCACACACCAAATAGCAGAGCGGGTTGAGGAGATAGGGGTCTGATAGTGGCCTGCAGTAGAAGAGGTGGGTGCGAATTGATCCCTCCATGCTAAATCCTTTCACAGCCCCTAACCCTATGTCAACCCAATTGCTGTTATCGCTGTAGGATTGCAGTGACATTTTAAAACCACAAGACAATTGAAAAAAATCCTAGCCCTAATACCCAATACACTGTTATTTTGGAGAATATATTTGTTTGAGTATTTGGAGTGCCAGTGAATTGACCATATTATCAGGGATAAAAAGACACTAGCTGCCAAAGTAGTACAGGTCGATAATTGTCCTGATATTTGAAATAAAAAAAAATTTCTCCTGATACAATTGGCAAATCTAACTTTTGTATGTTATAGACTTTTTATATAAACACTGATCATCTAAACATTTTTGTTTAAACTAAATCCAAAAAATAAAATTGTGTTATTAATATTATTATATAGTATAGTAATTATTTAGTATAAATTATTATTGTTATATTATTTATTCCCTAGTATAGTATCATCCCAGCTGGGCTTCTCGTCTTTTGTCTGTCTGCAGAGACTCTCACTATCCGGCTCTCTAAATAAAAGGAACTATGGATCTGATCAACTGGTCTCTAAATGCAATTGACACCATTTTCTCGACGAGGAGCGTGGGTTCGGGGGAACCCACCTGTCCTGCTGGAACTTATGCTGCTGGCTACACGATGGACCCCTGGGCGAAGTGGAGGATCGTGTGCCTGGCTGCTCTGTCCCTGGAGGATGTCGAAGACATCTACATAATTGGAACTGTGATAACTGGGATTCTGCTGATTGGAATATGTGGAGCTCTCGGCTATCGGCGATTATCAAAAGCGGTCAGTGCTCAAAGCCCCACTAAGCTGACCGACTGGAATGGAATGTTGACTGGACTTAAGACTGTCGGGACTTATGTAACGGTCTGTGACCGCAAACTGGATTTCATCCTGGAAAGGCTGGCAGAATTGAAACGTAAGTTGGATAATATGGAGACCGGGGGAAGACTCTAAAAATCTGGAAATTTACAGCTTTTGACCTAAATTAACTTCTGTACCATCTGGCTCCCCTTATCTCCTCTGGCCTTGGAGGCCGCGAAGAGGAGTCTAAACATCCCCCGTGCGGAACTCGATAAGGAGACTCTCTCAGAACCCTCCCCCGCATCCACTTATCTCCGCCAGCTTATTTTCCCCACCGCTGTAATCTGACGGGTCATTGTACAGCGCCCCCATGGCTGCAGGAAAATGCCGGCTGCGGACTACAGCGACTACACCACTTCCCCGACCCCTACCTCATCCTGCGATGTTCTTTCCTGTATTTGTCAATGTGTTTGATTGCAAATGGCTTTTTTTTAATCTGCTCCACAGTGCTCTTTTCTTTGAAGGACAATGCGGAAAGGCTCTTTTTTTAAGCTAATTTACCTAATGTATATCCATTTTCTCTGTTTCTCTCTGTAAATGCTACCTCTCAGCACTGGCCTGTTCCCACCCTGTCTATGTCTGTGGCCAGAGGGGTCCAATTTCACTACATGTAACAGTGTATGTGACAAATAAAGGCTAATTCAATTCAATTCAAAATATTAAAGTGAACTTCCCTGACTGGTAATCGAACCCGGGCCACGGCGGTGATAGCGCTGAATCCTGACCACTTGACCATCAGGGACACACAACCCTCACTGTTTATATGTCATTTTTTGCCATTTTTAAATGCTATCACTTTTAATCATATTGATTTGGACACACAACCTTCTGATCTGGAATCAGATGCACTACCGTTGCACCACAAGGTCTTATATGAGGATTTCTGGAAGAAGGCTCATAACGATCCAGAAAAAAATCAGAATCTAGTGGATCAATAATTTCTTGTCGTGTATCAAAAATATTAATGGGAACTTCCCTGACCGAGAATCGAACCCGGGCCACGGCAGTGAAAGCGCAGAATCCTAACCACTAGACCATCAGGGACACACAATCATCAATATTTTTTCGGCCATCATTTTTTTGCCATTTTTAAATGCTATCACTTTTAATCATATTTCCTGCCAATTTTCAGTAATGTCTTTTTAAATATCTAGAAGAGCAAAACTCAAATTATATTACTTTTAGAAAACTTTTTAGTATTAAAGTTTTCTGAACTCCCAGCAATGACCTTGATGTGACTTGAACACACAACCTTCTGATCTGGAATCAGACGCGCTACCGTTGCGCCACAAGGTCTTATTATGATATTTTATTGAAGAAGGCTCATAACGATCCAGAAAAAAATCAGAATCTATTGGATCAGTATCATGTTGTCCTGTTTAAAAAATATTAGAAGTCAGTTCCCTGACCGGGAATCGAACCCTGGCCGCGGCGGTGAGAGCGCTGAATCCTGACCACTAGACCATCAGGGACACACAACCTCATTGTTTTTTGGCCAATTTTTGCCATTTTGAAATGCTATCACTTTTAATCATATTTCCTGCCAATTTTCAGTAATGTCTTTTTAAATATCTAGAAGAGCAAAACTCAATTTATATTACTTTTTTAGAAAAATTTTTAGTATTAAGGTTTTATGAACTCCCAGCAATGACCTTGATGAGACTTGAACACACAACCTTCTGATCTAGAGTCAGACACGCTACCGTTGCGCCACAAGGTCTTAATATGATATTTTATTGAAGAAGGCTCATAACGATCCAGAAAAAAATCAGAATCTATTGGATCAGTATCATGTTGTACTGTATAAAAAATATTAAAAGTCACTTCCCTGACCGGGAATCGAACCCGGGCAGCAGCGGTGAGAGCGCCGAATCCTGACCACTAGACCATCAGGGACACACGACCTCATTGTTTTTTGGCCATTTTTTAGTCATTTTTAAATGCTATCACTTTTAATCATATTGATTTGGACACACAACCTTCTGATCTGGAATCAGAAGTGCTACCGTTGCACCACAAGGTCTTATATGTGGATTTCTGGAAGAAGGCTCATAATGATCCAGAAAAAAAATCAGAATCTAGTGGATCAGTAACTTCTTGTCTTGTAACAAAAATATTAAAGGGAACTTCCTTGACCGGGAATCCAACCAGGGCCATGACGGTGAAAGCGCCAAATCCTAACCACTAGACCATCAGGGACACACAATCATGAATATTTTTTCGGCCATCGTTTTTTTTTTGCCATTTTTAAATGCTAACACTTTTATTCATAGTTCCTGCCAATTTCCAGTAATGTCTTTTTGATTATCTAGAAGAGCAAAACTCAAATCATATTACTTTTAGAAATCTTTTTAATATTAAAGTTTTCTGCACTCCCAGCATTGACCTTGATGTGACTAAAAGTTTTCTGAACTCCCAGCAATGACCTTGATGTGACTTGAACACTCAAGCTTCTGATCTGGAGTCAGACGCGCTACCGTTATGCCACAAGGTCTTATTATGATATTTTATTGAAGAAGGCTCATAACGATCCAGAAAAAAATCAGAATCTATTGGATCAGTATCATGTTGTCCTGTATAAAAAATATTAAAAGTCACTTCCCTGACCGGGAATCGAACCCGGGCCACGGCGGTGAAAGCGCCGAATCCTGACCACTAGACCATCAGGGACACACAATCATCAATATTTTTTTGGCCATCATTTTTTTTGCCATTTTTAAATGCTATCACTTTTAATGATATTTCCTGCCATTTTCCAATAATGTCTTTTTGATTATCTAGAAGAGCAAAACTCAAATTTTATTACTTTTAGAAAACTCTATAATATTAAAGTTTTCTGCACTCCCAGCATTGACCTTGATGTGACTTGAACACACAACCTTCTGATCTGGAGTCAGACGCGCAACCGTTGCGCCACAAGGTCTTATTATGATACTTTAGTGAAGAAGGCTCATAGCGATTCAGAAACAAATCTGAATCTATTGGATCAGTATCATGTTGTCCTGTATAAAAAATATTAAAAGTCACTTCCCTGACCGGGAATCGAACCCGGGCCGCGGCGGTGAGAGCGCCGAATCCTGACCACTAGACCATCAGGGACACACGACCTCATTGTTTTTTTGGCCATTTTTTTAGTCATTTTTAAATGCTATCACTTTTAATCATATTGATTTGGACACACAACCTTCTGATCTGGAATCAGATGCGCTACCGTTG